TACTCAGGACTCAGTTACTCTTTTCAAATTCTGCAGGAACGGGGGAGATGCATGGATCATGAAGGGTTATGAACTGTCCCCTACCTGTGCTAACATATCCCCCACTCCATTTTTAAAATGAAAAGAGAAAAAACCCAGGAAGGGTAGGAGTCAGATGACAGCAAAGGGGAGAATGGATTTGGGGCTTCAGGAGTATGGGAGAAATCTTGGGGCAGTCAGCGCGAATGGGGACAGGATGTTCGGTCTCCATCAGAGGCATTCTCCAAAAGGTAAGCCGGATTAGATCTGGCTTGTAATTGTATGGGAGATCACAAGGAAATCCCAAGGAAGTTGAAAAACCTGGAAGAAAGCAGTGGGAGATCCCTTCTAAACTGCTGCTTGGGTGTGGCCAAAGTCAAGCCCAGCTCAGAGTTGGTTCTTCTTTCATCTTCTGTGCAAGACGTTGCGTGTGCATAACCTGTAGGAAATCTAAAGAGCTTAAGGGTGGGCTGTTTTCAGGTCTCAAGGAGAACCAGGAACAGGGCATACATTGCAAGGCACTTGTGCCTTCTATTAAAAAGCCTTGCCTTCTGGTTTCCAGAGAGAGCACACACACACACACACACATATCCCAAGTCCTGGGTCTGAAAGGGCCTTTCATAAACCACAGAGCTGTCGTAGGTATGCGTATCTAGGCATACTTCTCTGCGTAGGCCAAAGGAGGGAGAATTTCTCTAGAAGGCACCAAGGCAGGACAATCCATCTGCTTTGAGTTGCAGCTTGGCGGAGTCTCTTTGGAGAATGAACAATGCCCTCGCACAAAGTCAGCGCATAAAGGAGCGACAGCTTCTCATGTCCGACTTAAGCTCAAGCATTTAATGAATTTCTCATGACCCACCCACCTTTTTTCTCCACACCTCTGCGACTGCCATGTCCAGTGGCAGTAATTCTGTGCGGTTTGCGGGTCAGGAACGTCTGTTGCCGCTACGGGGCCACGAAAGCCACGAATGCTGCAGTGCTGAGTTTTACTTCTAAATCAGTGTTTCTCAACCTTGGCAACTTTAAGACAGGCGGACTTCAAGTCCCAGAATTCCCCAGCCAGCAACGCTTGAAGTCCGCCTGTCTTAAAGTTGCCGAGGTTGAGAAACACCGTTCTAAATTCTGCCCTAGCGTCGAGTTTATCAACAATACGGTCACTTCATGCTTCCTTACAGCCAACGTCCAGCTCCTAGGTTCCTGATGATGTCTTTGTAAAAGGTCCAGGTTTCTTCCAGGAAATTTTAATGCCTCAAGATATTTGACAGTCAAGTCATAAACCCCCAGACAGGAGATTGCTGAGTTGTCCTTGTGTTAAAGCACTGACGTCCTACCTGCAGCTTTTTGAGTGGTCCAGGGTCATGCCAAGATCACAGCCATCAACCGGGATCTCTCTCTGTTTCCTTTGCTAAAATAAGGATTAAAACACAACCATTTTGACCCCAATAACAGACAGAGAACAGACTGAAAATATTGGCTGTACCAACAGGTTCCTGGACATGGTTCCCCTGTACTACTCAGAAAACCTCAAGCTTTCCGTAGATATTTAAAAAATTGATAATGAATTTACCTGCCTGTCTGTTAAAGGGAGCAGGGCTAGGGGAGAATCTCTGTTTTAAAAATGAATGTTTTGCCAAGAATGATGCTTTTGTTTCAGACAATACCTATTTTGACAACCGATGTACTATTTCAGCAATGGCAGAAAGATATGTCTAGGTTTGTATGCCAAGGGAAAAGCCAAGGGCTAAATATAAAGTTATTCAAGATGTAAAAGGACAAGGAGGATTGGAACCATCTGATTTTAAAGTGTATTTTGCAGCCAGCTGTTTGGTTTGGATGAAAGGGTGGGTTTTGCTGAGAAATACAAGAATTATAGAATAAGAAGAACACAATCTGAGGTTCGGATGGCATGGTTTTCTATGGTACAGTAAAGTTAAGGTTAATGCAGATTTTAAAAATCACTGTCAGAAGTGCCATGTTGAGAATATGGAACAGATATAAACCCAGACTGTGCCCAAAAATGCCTTTATGGGTCTCAGCACAAGAAGCATTTTACAAGAAACAGTAAAACAGTAGATAAAGAAAAATGGTTAACTTATCGAGGGTTGTTAGAA